GTTTTACATGCTTAAAGCTGTAGGGAAATCATGTTTAAATGTCAAATCATTCTGGCTTAAACATGTATATAAATATACGCTCTATTTATTTATTTTTTGTTATCTTATGCAGGCCAGTTAGTTACACGTCAGCCTGTGCATCTGTATCAACGGTCATCTGTCAATCCCATTTTTTTGGTCATAGCATCTTGATTTATATGTCGCAGCTAATATACGCAACGGCTGAAATAGGAATAATTTCCTTTCCCATTGAGTTGATGGACGTCTGTGTCTTCAGCAGGCGTAGAGCTAACAGAACTGGCAGCGTTGTGAGGCAAGGGCTCAAACATGTACGGCTGTAAGCCTTCTACACCAAACCAAGCTTCTGCCGCCCTGGCGTCCTCTTCCACAACAACTCCGTCCCCGCTTTCCTCCTCTAAATAAAAAATGTATGACAGAGGAGACTCATCCCAACCTCCGACACAAAACTCTCCTCCTCTTGCATGTTTCCTCTGTCCATAGCGTTCCTTTACAGTGTCGTCTTCTTCTTCTTCTTTGATATTTTTTGGCGATTGGCAAACAACAGATAGATGCATTTCCGCCATCTACTGGAATGGAGTGTGGATCAGAATGACTCTCAGGAATTAAATTCTATTATATAAATGTGTTATTTTTAGATATCGAAATACTATACTGTAAATATTACTATCTGAATAACTTCTGAATAATTGAAATAAATCTAATTTAACTTTTACTTTACTCAAATTTTGAATGAATTGCTTTCTCTCCTCCTCATATTTATTACAGTATAACATCACGTGCTCAACTGTTTCATCTACCCCACAATATTCACATTTGCCATTCCTATGTTTTCCTAAGATAAACATAGTACCATTTAATCCCCTTGACAGTGTCGTTTCTAAGTCACCAATTTAGTGCTACTTGGTCCCAATGGAATTTCCCATTGGGAACCTGCTAGCACTAAGTTGCTAACTGGTTAGCAGGATGCTTTCCACAAACCGAACCACAACCGAACTTGCTTGTGAACCCTCTGCCACAACAATCCCGCCCCCTTGATAACTCGTGTAAAGTCGGGTACCACTCGGGAGAATTCGGAAATGCAACGGATGAAACACTCAACGCTATTTCTGACATTTGAATTAACTTCCTGGATGGGAAGCGAAACGTCTTCAAACTTGGAAAAAAATTCCGCTGGATTGTTTTTTAACTTTTTTGGAATGACTATGGCCTGATTGACTGAGAATCTTCACCAGCAGATTAAAACAATGAGGCCTGATGGTTGCACTGCATTTAATTCATTTGGACCAGAGAAAACAATGCCTAGCACCAGTTCATCTCTTAATTTAAGTGTTTTATTATCTGAAACTGTTATGATCTGGAGCTTAGCATCCCAACAGAGTATTAATATCTGCAGTTGGAAGGTGATTAATGTGGAAAAGTCTATGGGGGTGGGATTACTAGTGCTATACGGTGTAGGTTATATTTTCACATCTGCTCAAATATTAGTAATTTTCCTGCATGGTTTTAAGTGAAATGTTGCTTTTAGCGTCATTTAGGTTTCCATCTGTTCATCATCAGACAGAAACTGTTCTTCTTCTTCACTCAGCAGCATTAGCAGCTGTTTAGCTTCATGTTTTCACCGGGAAAGCCTTTAGTATTGATGCTGTGGCTCTGCTGGCTTTAGTAGGGTAGCTATTTTTCACAGATCCAGCAGAGCTGCTTGTTTCATAAAGCTGTGAAGAAACTCTTTTTCCTCCTTGCTAATTTGAGTCAACAGTTGGCAAGCTGAGGACAAAACGCTGCTATTTTAAAAGCAAACAGGAATAGCCACGCTGGTTCACTGGCTCAGGAGGATGTTACCGTATTAGCACACTGATCCAGTTAAGCATCTACGCTGTTAGGGGGATGCCCTGCGCCGTTTAATAAGCTTCCATAAATAGACATCGAGACGGTTAATCTGACTCGGGGCTCCTTCTCTACAGCCCGTTCATGTTTCTATCTCTTTTATCAAACATAAAAATGCTGACAAAGCAATGCAGCTGAGTCAGAGCTTTTACAGAAGACGTCACAGTGGACGGTTCAGCCGTTATTTCCTCGATGATTCATTTTGTTTGACAGCATCTCTGTTAGCCACTGATGCTGATATGTGTTTAGAGACGACTACGTCTGGTTTAAGATGAATGCTGCTTCAATGGATGCTGATAAATAAACCACCTCTGCATGTTCAGGTGCTCCCCTCTGTTTGGGAGCTCTGACAGAGATGAACAGCTGGGTCGCCTCTACGGTTCAGACACTTCAGCTGCTGTGGCTCTGGATAGGAAACGGGTTTACCTTTAATTAATAGACAAATGCTTTATTTTTTAGACTTTCTGGTCTGCAGTTTCAAAGTGTGCACTGGTAGTATCTCTGGAAGAGCGCGGCTAAAACTGATTTGACTTCAGGGTCTTGCGTTTGACAAAGTCAGCAAATAAAACGCAGAGAAAAAATGTGCAGCAGTTATAACAATGTTCGTCTTACTTTGTGGAATTTTACCCAGTTTCCATGTGTGAGCACTTTATTTCAAACGAAACTCCCTTTTCTTTGGGAACTTCTCTTCTTTGGGAACTTCTCTTTTCAGATCCTTCAACTTGTCTTTGTTTTATGGTGACGTCACCCCCCCCAAAGGAATTACAATATATGATTTTTTTAAAACAATTTATTTGAATAATACAGCTGCAAATAAGTATTTCAGCATTGGAGTAAATCAATATTATAATTTGGTAAAGTAGCCTTTGTTTGCAATTAAGGAGGTCAAATGATTCCTGTAGTTTATTCCACCAGGTTTGCACACACTGCAGGTACAGTCCACTCCCTTTCATCTGGCATCAGCTCCCTGTCTTCCCTCTTATTAGCAATGAATCAGTTAAGTCTTGATTATTAAAGTAACTGTCAATTGCTTTAGTTACTTGTCATCGAATTACAGATTCTATAAATTGACCGTTACTGGATTTTAACCTAAATTGTACAATATCTTTTAACATTTTTCATTTAAGATGAAAAACCTTCTTAGGTTGGAACTATGCTCCTTAATAAATGTAGGTTTAGCTTCACCTCTTTTAAATGTAATGAAAAATCTCCTATAAAGTACTTTTTGCTGCCTGATTCTTAATTAGAAAATGTTTTCAATTTTGCAAAATAATAATGTCCTGAATCCCTACCTTCAATAAAAATGTTTTAATATTAAGGTTCTGAAAGATAAATCATTATAATTTGGTCAAAGTTTTTGAAAATTGATCTTTGCGTTTGAAACAGAAACCTTACTTTTGTAAGAAGAAATCTGCCGCCATGATACATCATTAGACTACATCTAATTTCTCTCTTTTTTTTGTTTTTGTTTTGCAGATGCAGCAAAAAATGCTTTTGCTGCTTTTAGCTGCAGGAAGTCCTGCTCCCTCTAAACTCAGTGAACCCTGCTGTTTTCTGGCTTCACAGTAGCAGCTATTGCTGGTGGCTAAATATCTGCCCTTGTTCAATGTTCAGCTTTAGGATTAATCCATCAGTTTTTCAAATGAAACTAAAGTAATTAACTGATTATTAGAAATTATTTTCAATTAATAAACTAGGGTTTATAGACCCTTAAACATGCCATTTGCTGAAGAAGAAAAAAACAAAACAAAGGAGCAGTAGCAGCTAAAGCTGTATTCCCTCCAGAACTCAATTTAGTTGCATAAGTTCAGCTTCATTTTGTCCAAATTCTATAAAAACAAACAAAAATCTCTTCTATTAATTACCTTTGCTTTACGATTATTAGAAAATAAAACAGTTTTATGGACTAGCACACTAATGGTTACGATTGGTCCTCAAAACCAGCACTGTGAGAAGGGGACCTTTAGCAGGCGTGATCTCTAGCAGTTTAATTAATGAGTCAATAGATTGATAGGCTTATTGATGACTAAATAAGATTAAAGCCAAAATAAGGATCACTTATTTACTTTATTGTTTTAAGAAAAAAACAAAAACAAAAAGGTATCTTATTACAAAGGTGATCCATGCCATTAAAAGGGCTTGAAAAAGCAAAAAAGATGAAACAGGGGCCAGAAACAAAAAATGTTTTTAAATTATTGAGAAGCTCATTGACTGTTTATGAGCAAATCTCAAGTTGAGCATCAGAGTCTGGAAACTTGAAAGGAATCAGAGGTTCAGGGTGTTTTCTCCCAGACATTCCCCCTCTCCTACCCAGAAACAGATACAGGTTATGTCTTTGAACTTGTTTACCTGGCCTCTAGCAATGAGGCAAAGGTTGGATGCAGCAGACTGGGAGTCAAACTAACCTCCTTAGTTGGATTTTTTGCCTCAATAGTTTCTCTACTATTGATGTGCAAAGTTGTTTAGATGTTAGATGTAGCAGACAGACTGTCTTTATGAGTCTTCTAGAGATATTTCAGCTCTAACCGGCTTTCTCCAGTTCCCCTTGGTGGTTTTAATGGGACTACAGCAGGAAAGGTGCAGCCGTTCTGTGAGCCTGACTAAAGCCTGAGAGCTACAGACATGTCTGAGAATCTGGGCTGTCCTGTTCAGCAGGTTCACCTACCAACACACTCCAGCAGTGTATCTGCTTGTTTTTTTTCTCTCTGTCTTGCAGTGAGATGTCACACCCTGATTGTTCTTGTTTTTCACCAAACGCTGCAGCGTTATTGTTGTATTTTAAAGAAAAGCATTCGTCAAAATGTCCTTCCTACCGCATTTCCTCTCACTAATGTGACCCAAGGCGACTGCTGGCGTTAGCATGAGGGAACGCAGACAGGGAAGTGATGCTGCTGAGTCAAGTGCTGCTGTTGGAGCTGGAAGTGGCTCGGTGACGGGGGAAGCCTGAATTAGAACGACAGCGATGATGATGATGATGATGATGATGATGATGATGAAGTGTACTTCTTTGGATCATATTAAAGTTCCAGTACTGTCTGTGTCCTTATCTCTCTGTTCTATTGCTCAGGTGATGGGAATTCAAAAAACTCCAGTGTTTACATCAACAACAGCCATGGGATGGACGATGACGACTTCTACGACAGGAACTTGGCCTTATTTGAGGTTCGAAAGCAACCAGTCGCTCTATCCGAAATGTATTTAGCGTTTTAAATGTTTTTGTGTCATGGCAGCGGTTGCTGATGCTAACAAGAATAGAAATGCTGGCCGTTTCTCAATTCACAAGAACGCGAGTATGGACTAATGTCCCCGCCAAGTATGTTCTTGAGAAGAACACAGGAAAGTGTGGACTCTGGGAGAACGGGAGCTCGCCGCATAAATATGGGTCAACCGGAACAGAAGCATACTCATGACATCACCACACGCTCAGCTCGTCTGGAGCTGCATTTCACCTCCTGTTATTAATAGTCTCTAGATAATAATAAATTCTGACTTTTTATTTAGTGAGGAACTAATTAACACAGTCAGATATCGCCATGACTTAAAATTGCCATCAGAGCCAGCGGTCCTTTTAAACATGGCTATGCCGAGAGAGGGCTGCTGCAGACGGGCTGCGGTTAGCCTTAGCTGTCGTTAGCCTCGGAGCTCCGCTCTCAACTTCGGATTTTATTTTTTAAATGACGCATTAAATCGGTAGATGGGACATAGAGTGACGCTTAAAGGTATAATATTCTCGCCTCAAATGATCTTAAAACGTACTTTTATTGAACAACAGCTTCAGAAGAGAAGAACTTTTAACTCAATAATTGGAAGCTGCTGCTGCTTGCCGCAGGGCATGCTGGGACAGCTGTCTATCTCAAGAACAGACTCTGATGCATGAAAGCTCTGATGCATGCTGGGTAAACAGGGAGGGGCGAGAACAACATCCGTGGACTTTGTCTGCTCTCGGCCTTCTTGTTCTTGTGAATTTGAACAGTACTAGGGCTGAGGCTGAGGACGCTCCACGAGTACGTGAGGAAGCACAAGTACACATATTGAGAAACGGCCGCTGTTTTGTTTACCAAACCTGAGCTGAAAGCTGGTGTGTTTTAGCTTATATATAGATCAGTTTTTTCTCCTGTTTTCCTTCTGCTGATTCTTTATAACTTGCTTATTCTCAGCTCCTGCTCTTTTCTTTTTAGTCGCCTTTTTTTATTTTGCGATCCTCTCTTTATCCTCTCAGTGCTGTCATCTCCCTCTTCTCACGCTGTTACATCTCCCTTTGCTTAATAACCAACAGGAGGAGATGGACACTCGACCCAAGGTGTCTTCTCTCCTCAACCGCCTGGCTAACTACACCAACCTGACGCAGGGGGCGAAGGAGCACGAGGAGGCCGAGAGCATCGGCGAGAAGAAGAAACCCAGCAAGGTGTGAAACGCTTCCTTTATTACACATCCTTTTTAAATGTAACAGAGTTTACTATGTTATAAAAAAACAAAAGAATTGAGAATAAGATGTCAAGATGAAACACTAAGGTTTCAAATGTACATATAGTGTGAAACAATCCTCCTGGTGATGATCTATTTCAAAAGGAGCTCATTGTCCATTCCTGTCTGCATGGGTCACTGAGTTTTGTCTAGACGAATCATATCAGCAACTCAAAGTGCATCAAGATGTGAACTCAGAGTGCACGGCGGTTTCTGACGATACGCCACGTGCAGCAGAGATGAGACAATCTGTTTTGGCCATTTGTAGGATTTCCAGCTCAGATTGAAGCCTGGCTGGCACTATTTCCCACCAGACAGCGGGGGGGTTTAACCAAAGCATCTTTATCTTCCCTTCTGGTTTTTGTCCTGTTTTCAGTACAAGCATCACCAGACGTCTGCTGTATTAACAGATTAGGTTGTATCTGGAGCAAATTAAAACTGAATAAAAAGCTTAAGCTGTTCGTTTTATAAGTGAAAAATACATGATTTGATGTTTAACACAAGCATATGATAATAAATCTGCTTTAATTTAGAGGATTTTAGCTTTTAAAGCCATACTGCAGACTTTGTGACCTAGAGTTGATGCATTTGAGTTATTTTAAATGATTCCTTAGGCCAATAGTCAACAATTGACACTATCAATGCACCCCTCTTAAAGTACAGACTGTGTGAGTTGGGAGAAGACGCACCGTCGTTGGCCAGGTCATGTGACCTGGAAGCAGATGTGTCTTTATTGCCGCAGGCTCTTATATAGTCGTGGAGCTAAGGCTTTTGCTCTACTATTTTTCTGCCTGCTCTACTACTGGTCATGGCTGAGGCAAGGAAAATCTTTAAACCTTCTGATGAGGCTTAAAAGAGGAAACATGAAAGGGATCGTGAGCAAGGAAAAACAAGAGTTGGCCTTGGAAAGGAGTTTGTTCGTTGACGAAGGCTGTTTGAAGAAGCCGGATGTAACACAGATTCTTTTTTTTTTCTCAACTTTATTATTAGACTGGTAACACTTTGCTCCTACTGTACAGTCATATAGCTTTATTATTATTTTTGATGCTTAGTAGAAGCAAAATACGGGAAGAGAAAGCTAGAAGGCTACAAACAACGGCTGACCGAGACGTCCCGTCCAATCCGGTGGCTCTTCAGTGGAGCTCCGCCGCTGGTCCTCTGCACCACGTGGCGAGGTCCAGCCTGCCACGGCGTTGCTTTCCAAAGAGCAGCAGCGTTTCTCATACCCTCTGAGATCAACTTAGACGCCTAGCGCCATCCCTGATTAAAAGATACAGGAAACTGGACGGCTATCTGTTTGTTGACCTTTGTGACAGTGCTGTGGGGGTAGTGACTATTAGGGGAGCTAGACGTGAAAGTTACAGGTCTAGTGCCCCTAGTGGCCAAAAGTTACACGGTATGCCTTTGAATGCCTTTTTAAATCCCCTTTCAAATCATGACAAAAGCTCCTCCTAATTGTCAATCATCGTGGTGATATGTTTACGTAAGGCCGTCCTATGTACTCGTCCACATTTTCACATACCTTGAAGAAATGGCTGCTTGAGGAGAATTACCTCCCCTCTTGCACACAGATGAGAAAACGGATTGAAATATAAACGAAAAGGGATCTTTTAAACATATTCTCAATGTTTTCATATTTCTTACGCATGGATGCCCTGAAGTTTAGAGTTTTGGTGGACAGATGAATTTGAACGAACACGACTTTACTTGTATGGAGCCGATATGCTTCAGTCAGTTTCAGATGAATATATTCTCTGATGGCATTTCCCACTTTTGCTATCAGCACCATTCTATAAATAATCCAGACAATTAAAAGAAAATCCCAAAACAATATCTAAAATAAAATGATGTCTGTAGCTGCTTTTTAAAGATTAGACTTAGGAAAACAATGGCTCTTTATTTTTATTTCTCAACCCTATCAGTGGATTTTAGCTTAAACGTCTGAAAGGCTCAGACTTTGATATGTGACTTTAACAACCAAGTCATTTACTGTAAGATGGAGCTGGAGGTAGCAGGGCCATGTAAAGTCAAAGTCCAGATTTCTGAATGAAATCAAAGCTACAGAGACATTAAAACTGAATAAAGGCAGGTTTGGACCAGCTTACAGTGGATCAGCTGTTTTTAATATTACATATAAAAAAATGTATTACAAAAATCTAGACAAGAGCAAATAAAACCCTGAATAACAATCTAAAGTTCCTGTTTTGACACTGATTGTTTTGGTTAGTCTATTTATTTCAACCCAGATGATATAGACAGTTTCACAAAATTGTGTTAGTGAGATTAAAGAGACACTGATTGGCACCAATGTTTCTAAAAGTTGGTTTTATAAACAAATGTAAGTGCAAATGTGCAGCAAACAATGAAACGAGCTGCAAAAACATGTGTTATGTTATTATAAAAAACAAATGCAACAGAAACATGCTGCTAACAAAAAAATGTTGAAGAAATTTGAATAAAAAAAATCCTGCAACCACAAACAAAATGTTGAAAGAACAGGAAAGTCGAGTGAAAACGGCAGCAAAGTCGCTCCACAAAACGGAACTTCTCCAGGCCACCAGAGGGAGTTGAACGAGGAACTAAACATAGCGGACCTGAGCCTCCAGGAAGTCAAGCTTTGATGCAGGATTATAGTATGGGGAATATATTAGGGGAGTGTTGGCCTGGTGGTTAGAGCAGTGCGCTTGTGCTCTGAGAAGGTTACAAGTACCCTGTTTGATCCCCACAGCCTGAGCAAGAACCTTAACCCCACACTGCTCCCCAGGCGTTGCACAATAGCAGCCCAATGCTCCCCAGGGGAATGAGTTCAATCCAGTGTGAGATCAATAAAGTTCAATTATTGTTATAATAAAAAATATATATGTGTCAAGAAATCTGAAAGAAATGTCACTTGTTCCTGCTGTCAAACAATCTGTGTTTGTTTCTGTTCCAGTCGCCACAGATGGGGACGTTCATGGGCGTTTACCTGCCTTGCCTTCAAAACATCTTCGGAGTTATCCTGTTCCTGAGGCTGACATGGGTGGTGGGGACGGCTGGCGTACTGCAGGCGCTTTGCATCGTCTTCATATGCTGCTGCTGTGTAAGCGTCAGCATGCATCCACGAACACACGGAGTACTAAACCTTCTGTGATAACACTGTATGTGGGGTTGTTTCTGCTTTCCAGACGCTGCTGACTGCAATATCAATGAGCGCCATCGCCACTAATGGAGTTGTGCCAGGTATGTCTTTACCATCAGATCCTCTTTTCTCACCACACACATCAGTGTGATCTCTGTGGATGCAGATCCTTCCATTTTTTATGTCTGATCTTAACGTTTAAGCAATGCTGATAAAGTTCCTCTTTTGTTCTGTGTGCCACCCTGTTCGACCCTCCCTCTCTCATATTTATCTTCCACTGACCTTATTTTTCACCTAAGTGTGTGTAGATTGTATCTAACCCATTCGATGCAATGTGAGCATAACGGGATGTCCATGTTTGTAGCAAAAATGAAACTAAATCAGGTGTAGCATAGAAAACATGTCTTTGTTTCTAACAGCTTCTTCCATCCAGTGTCAGATGGTGTTCAGCGACGTTTCAATCTGGTTTATTCTGGGTGATAGAGGAGGAGAAAGGTGTTTGGCTTCTCAAATGCTGCCTGGCTCTAACAATCCTTCAGACAGTCTCTGAAGGGGTTTGAAGGCTTGTTTTATTTAGACTGTGGCATTTCTATCACCACCCCCCTCCCAGATCCGTTCTTTAAGGTTTTCAATTGATCTCTCTGCACAAACGGATAAATATAATCCCGGTAACTCGACAGGTGCAGGATTACTTTCACTGCTTTATTTATACAACACAGAATTCATCACTAAAAGACACTATATTCTCTCGATAATACTCAAACTTTGTCTCATATATTAATCCAGATTTATACATTAAATGTTGGCAGAGAGTTCAGCATATATTTAGCTTATTTTATTGGATAGAATAATCTCAGAACTGATTTCTTAGGTTTTCCTCCTCATCCTGACCTGTTTCCCTACATCCACTAGTTTTTTTTTCCTTTTAAAGCAGACATTAAAACTCTCCCACTCTGGTTAGACAGTTGTTAAAGGATGGTTTACTAATTTGTCAAAAAATAACCCAGTCTCCTTTGATATCTGTTAGATTCTCATGCTAGAGAATTGATTTATTTTAAACCAGAAGAGTAGCTGTTAAACATACTGCCCCCCAAAAAAAGATGATGGTTATAACATCTCCATTAAAATAAATCTACTTGTTGAGAAAATCTGAATCAGAACACCTTTACTTGTTATTTTAATGAATACAACATAATTTGTTCCGAAAAAATCCTCCCAAGAAGGACAATATAGCAACATGTACGTGGGACAGACGCCTGGTTTAATTATACTTTTAATAAACTATGCTAACACAATACCTTGTGTCGCAAACAGCTAAGCTAGTCTGTCTTATAAACCAGCTGATATGCATCAGCAGACGGGGAGTGGCTGTCAGTCCTTTTATCACGCAGCCGGGGGAATTGTCTGTCTTCCATTCAAATGACTCCAGGAATGATGACAGAAAACCTCATCAGCTACTGGCCATGCAGATTTCCCTGCTAGCTACTCTCAGCTGTTTCTTCTAACCCTCAAAACTTTTATTCCAGCCTGTTTTACTAGAATACGTCTCAAGATGAATCCCAATCTATTGTTTTGGTTCCCAGGAGCTTTTGTTTAGGCTGGTTTTCTAGGGTTTGTTGCTGGGGAAGCAGTTACCACTCCTACTCTGACTTGTTATGTAAACACAGCTAACAAATATATCCTCCTACACAGCCAGTTGAGCAAGGTAAAGGAAAACATTTTCCCATGGTCTGGGAATAGAGACTTGCTAAATACATTTATGGTATTTAGCAACCCGGTTCAATGTTCCAGATTCCTGTAGTAAAGCAGGTTTTAATTTGTTGAGCTTCATTAGAGAAGTTTGTGGAAACCAGGAATTTGTCATTGGTGACATATAATCATAATAAGACATTTTAAATGTGTAAAAAAAATATACTGATAATATTTTTGTAGATACAACAGGAACTGACCGTGGGCTGTTTTTTCTTTTTTTTGATCAGCACCATGTAGGTCTGAATTGAAGGTAAAAGTCTTAAAGGTCTGTGGTTTGTTAGGTATGCAGAGATGTTAGCTACCCTTTTCCCGACCTTAGACCTGAACAAGTCCTAGATAGAGGGAAGTTCACCCTAATAATCATCTTTCCAAATCTAACATGGGTGGTAATTTAGACCCACCTGAGTGTGGGGATGAGCCAAACCTCTCAGAGATGGGTAAACATTGGACAGTCTGAATAAAACTAAAGAATTACTAAAAGCTCTTATGGAAGGTTGTCCTTCTTGAGTTGAACTTCTGGTTCTTCTGAATACTGTCCATGTGTGGGGAACATCCCATGTCCTGAGATAGTGCTGGTCCTAGAAACAGGAAGTGATCCACCACCGTTGAGGATGATGAGAGAAGGAACTTTCTGTCTATGTAGTCCCATATTCTGGATCATACCAGCAATAATTGTGTTTGTGTCATTTACAAACTTTAAGAGTTTAACAGATGGGTCTGCTAATGTGCAGCCATTGTGTTGACAGAAATAAGAGGAGTGGGGGCCATTCCAAAATACTGCTGTGTCTTTATATGAGGAGCTGTTTTTTTTAGCTTCTCTTAGGTCATTTAATAATGTTTAATGTTTATTTAGGGTCTCATCCCTGATGTAAACCAATTTCTTGATTGGATGTAGCTTCCTTGGATCAGAACAATGATTTTTGTTCGCAGTATATGCAGAAAGTCTTTTAATAGGTCATTCAGATCTGTGGAGGAAGTTTCATACACGCTCTAAATTTTGCTGTCAAAGCAGGCTTGTAACATTTAGTGTGAGTTCTTCCTTTGCTTCCTGACGGTCTGAACAATGAGCCTAGAAGTTTTTTATGTTCTATAGAAAATCCAAACCTTTGTAACTGTGGATCAGCGTGTTTTAATCTGTAGTGGAGCACCTAATATGCTGAGGTTTACAAGTTGGGTAGAGAGGAGGACTATGCTTTTAAAATCCCAACAAACAATGATGAGAGATGCAGAGGCTTTTGTTGGAATCTAAACAGCATTCAGAACAACAAAGGAAAACTCTGTCTAATAGGGATGCACGATATAATCGGCCCCCTATCGGTATCGGCCTTAAAACTGAATATCGGACATCGGCCACCCCACCGATATTTAACCCAATATTTGATCAGCTTCTGAGTTTCTAAAGTCTAAAAAAAAAAAAAATACTACTTCTTTTTCTTTAAAAACTTCTTTTTTACAGACTTC